AGGTTTAAGAAAAAAAAAAAAAAAAAAAAAAAAAAAAAAAAAAGAGGGGGGGGGGGGGGGGGAATCATTACCTGCCCATCAGTAAACTGGCTGAACTGTTGCTGACCCTGTTGTAGTTCTGTCTGTGAAATCTAAAGAACAATTCAACAAGATTACACCCATCAATTTAATTAAATTAAATTAATCTAATTATATTTTATGTGAAATATACAATTGTGTAACATCTGCACCATTAGTGTCACCAAATGAGAGAGAGAAAAAAAAACACTCCTCTCGTGGCCATGAGTTGAGCTAACACTGCTGACCATCTTTAAGATCTTTCATGATTTACCTGCTGAGTGTTTGTCGCAAGTGTCTGTATTTGTCCTTGAACAACCTGTGTTCCTGAGACAGGCTGAGCCAAGCGAATATACTGCAGCTGGCCGGTGTTGAGCTGCACCTGCAGGACACCACAAGGGGGCAATGACGAGAACACATCATTACCTCCTAATAACAAGCACGTTTGCCTGGTCTTCATGTAGCACAGGTGTGCTGCAATCCCTCTTACCAATTTATAATGCTTTGGAAAGGTCAAAATTACAAAATGCAAAGGTAAAAGTCTCACTGGAATCTGCTGAATCTCTCCCGTGTTGGTGATGATCTGCTGCATAACCTGCATAGTCTGTCCAGCCGGCTGTGCTGCCTGCGCCTGTCCCTGTGCAGCCGCCTGCACAATCTGCACCTGCTGACCTTCGCCCACCTGCATGGTCACCGGAGCACTCTGAAAGAGAAGGAATGAAAGTCATGAGATGGGACTACGGCTTCAAACTTGCATTCAAGTTGCGTTTCAATCTGTTGTGTGCCTTTCAAGTCTTTTTCAGCACGTACGCTGGAATCGATGAACTAGCATTAGCATTACAGCCTACTGTACTGTGGGCTGGGACGGCCTCCAAAAGAAAGTGAAATTGAAGACGTGTTGAGGAAAGGGGAGAGGTGCAAGACTGTGACCCCGGGCTTCTCGTGTTGAACGGAGAAACCTGGGCGCTGACTGCAGAGGTGTGACAGATGATCTCTCCTCTTCAGGAACTGACACCCGATAGGCGAGAGCAATTTATTAAGCAGCACAACTTTATCTGGCCTGAGACATGCAGTGACCTCATATAGCGTCAAGTAGAGGGCATATGAATTAGAGACTTGGCCCGGTGTAAAAAATATCTGCTCCTCTGTTTGGTTTAGGAGAAAATGGTGACTTCTGCCTTCAGTTAACCCCCTAGCTAATCTTATTATAGCAGACTACTGTTCAACAGTTTAGGATTTTTAATGTTTTTGATGTTTTCTTTCTCACCAAGACGGCATTTATTTGATCAAAGCAAATACAGTAAAAACTTCAAATCAATTTAAAATAACCTTTCTATTTTAATATACTTTAAAATGGGACTTTTCCCATAATGTCCTTAATGTCCATAATATTGATATAAACTTCAGCAAAAAGCTGTTTTTATATATAATGACAGTTTTCTCATTGCAAAACGTTATAAGGTTCCTTTTGAAGTCTCACTTTCAGAAACCACAAGACTCAAGCTCAAAACAATAAACACAAGGTCTGCGGTCACATCGCACATTGGAGAAAAATTCCTATTACTACTGCCAAGACCATGCAAAGATCTAAACAGACTAGAACAACTGTACTTTATTCTGTTTTGAAAATAAATAATTGACATGATCAGTCCAGCAGTGTGACATGTTATATTATTTTAAACACCTTTATAAATTACATTTTTATGACCCCATATGAATTGAGTGAAATGAATTTGTCAAATGCACTGATGATTCAAGTAAACTTAAATTTTTTATTTTTTTTAAACTACCACCAGTAAACTGACTGAATATCAGTATCCAGAAAATTTTATGAGGAAATTAAAGAAGAAAAAATAATAATATCCTCTGCTTCTGTTTGCTACATTGTTTCATGTAGTATGTGATATAGTACCCAAACAGGGATATTTTTGCTGATGTATTGTGCTTTGAAATGCTGTTCTTATTCAACTGTCATGAAAAAAGCCCTAAAAAGCTCCTTTTTACGTCAAAGAGGGACTTTTTGGGGAAGGACAGGGGTCATTTTGAGGGGTTTGAGGTTTTTACCGTGATAGGGGTCGCCTGTGATTGAGCAACCTGCACCTGTTGCAGTTGCTGCATGGTGGTTCCTTGCAATACCTGAGGAAGAGGAGGAAATAATACGAGAAAGAGAGTGAACTTGACAACACAAGCAAGCACATGCAAAGCGCATACTCAAACGTCATATAAAAAGCAACAAAAAAGGCAAAGCACTGAAAAGCCACAAACAGTGTAAAGAAATGAAAGTGTGATGTGTCACATGTAGTATGAACAGATTTATTCACACCATATCCATATTTTTGAAATGACATAAAACATGCATAAAGCTTTTTTAAATGAACAACTTCACACCAAGCCTGAAATATCACACTACAATAATATATAATATATATTATTTGAAAGGCAAGAATTCTGCATTGGATTTGTGTGAATAATTAAAGTTTGAATAATTGCTTTGAATATTTGATAACTTGTGTCACTCTGGAGTTTCAGATTTGGTGTGAACCAGCATTAACTGAAGCAGAGTTTAAATCAGCAGCAAAGATGAAGCATCTGTTATAGCAGATGAGTGCAAGCTCTGGAGTAAAATTGGAAAATAATGACAGTTTATGGAAGTTTTGCATTTGGGGAAATGACTGCATATAGCAGCACAAAGTAGTGAGCAGACAGCGAGATGAAGCTAAACCGACTCTCTGTCCTCAGGTTTGAAGATAAAACCCCACTGACAATACATTTTTACTTAAAGGGTAAACGGAAGAGAGCTTGAACAGAGCGCATGAAGGAACAAGTCAAAATCTGACAAATTTTTGTCAAAATTGTTCAATAAACATGTGGTCACCTTTTTCCTGTGCATAAATACTGTACACCACTATTTTTCTCTCACCTTATTTCTTTCCTACCTATGTATATACACTACCGTTCAAATGTTTCAGGTCTGTAAGATTTTTTTTTGTTTTTAAAAGATCAAAAATAGTAATATAAAAAATTACTTTCTATTTTAATATATAATTAATTCCTGTGATGGCAAAACTGAATCTTCAATGTCATGATTCTTCAGAAATATGCATGTTTGCATTAAAATCCTTAATATTTAAAAAATATTTATGATGTTGTTTTTAACATTTTTTTCAGGATTCTTTGGTTGAACAGAATGTTTAAAAGAACAGCATTTATTTGAAATAGAAATCCAACAGTACATTTGTCTTTACTATCACCTTTGATTAACTTAAACCATCCTTGCTGAATAAAAGTATTAATATTTCAAAAAACAACAATTAGCAACAGCAAACGTTTGAAGGGTAGTATATGTAGGGCCCAAACACTTGACACCACTACTGAAAATGCTTCTGATTTGCATTCCCCCCCCCCTATAAATTCTATAACCAGCATAACAATTTAAGTGAAAAGATGAACTGAAAATTAAAAAAAATAATAATAATAATTCTGATCTGTTGCACAATGAAGTTCAAATGATGTCACAAATTAGTGCAGGTAGTGCTCTCCCTCTCTCTCTCTCTCTCTATATATATATATAAAAAATATTTTTTTGTTTCCTTCTTGATTTTACGTCATGTTTCAGTTTGACATTTTTCAAAATTCTAAAACTTTATTTTCAGGTTGAAATTAGAATTTGAATCTCATTTTATTGTGGTCTGACAATTTTGAACCCTAGTGTATATATTTGTCCCAAGAGCTCTCTAAGGTGACTGCAGCACAACTCTGCCCAAGTCTGACAGGTCAGCAAACTGCAGCTTGCTGAAGCAGCACTGATCTTTAGAGAGAGAATGAGGTTCACCACAGAGAAGAGAAAGTGAAAAATAGCCTCACACTGGTGGAATTAAACCAGTATAACTTAACAAAATAAAAGTTAACTACATAAAAACAAAAAAGTAGAGGCGTGGAGAGGACTGCTGTGTTCATGCTAAAAAGTTGGACAGATATCACATGAGAGAGTGACTGGATTCTCTACTGTTCTCCTGATAGCAACGTGAGAATGACACCTCTGGGCTTTCAACCTACACCAATAAGGTTTCAAATGATCCTGTAATGGGCTGATCAAAGTAATCAGGGCTCAAGTGTTGTGTGAGAGAGTAGATACGATAAAGTTTCAGGCTTTTGTCCACCAGACCGTAGTATAACATACACTAGGGTAATGACAAGGGCAAACAGTGCCCTACAGATACCAGTTTTCTTACCTGTGCTGACATATTTCCTATTAAAATAGGAAGTTTCAGCGGGACGTAATCAAAAGAGTAACTCGTTTCTTTTAAATAGTCAAGAGGCTTTATTTACATCATAGCCATATATAATGATATGCTACTTGCTGTGTCACGCAAGATGAGTCATCAAAATATGTGCTGTTTTTCCTGTGTTAAATGTGTATGTTTGATAAATGTTAATGAAAGCTGCATCCAAAATCACATGCTCTCTGAACAGGCAGGTACTTTGCAACTGATAAAAAGGTATGTTTCATACAGTATGAATGCACTCTTGACATTCTATATTAGTCATGTTGTCATTGTCATGTAACCTATCAGTTTCAGTTGGGTATCTTCACTGCCATTCACAAATCCTCTCCTGCAGCCTCATGAGCCTGCATGTCCATCAGATGTGCACTTTGGTAGTAAGCAAGCATTTTGCCTAATGTTTTATGAATGCAATGAATTCCGACATACTATTTTCACATACTGAAATAGAATGGAATTATGTGATTTCGGATGCAGTCTTAGTCTCAAAGCTAATTGTTTTATGCTATGGTCCATATATGTACTGCGTTCTTGGGTTTGTGGCAAGTGTGTGAGAATTACCTGGCCCTGCTGGGGCTGAGCGATGATAATCTGTCCGGGCTGCAGTGTGGTGGCGGTGGGAGCAGCCACCTGCTGGCCTTGCTGCTGACCTTGGACCTGCACTGCACTGGGCTGCTGCGCCAGAGTGAAGTAATACTGGACCGGCTCAGTCGGGGCGACAGACTGACGCACTTCCTCCTACACAGACAGGCACAATTATAGAGAAATGTATACCTTATATTGCAGCACACCTCAGCAGGATCTTCATAAATGCAAGAGAGCATCCAACAATCCCATAAACAAACACAGATGAAATCAAGAGTTCATAAGGCCTATCTGCTGGTTACATCTCCATAAATTATTTTAGCTCTGTAACACTACAGGCAGGATGAGGATATATTACTTCTAGGCAAAGCAAGAGCGAGTAATGCAATCTTCTAGCTGGACAGAAACGAGACCTTTAGCTGCAGTCTGTGGCCTGAACTCCCACACTCAACCGCAGCGTAATGGCAGGCAATCAGCTGTCCTATTCTAACACAAACAGCAGGAATACCCAAACGTTTGTACCCAGAAGAGTATCTTTATATTTGGTCGTCATCCATTCCTGAAGATTTATTTGTAACAAAGAGAGTAAACATCCCTCTCCCAGCTTGGTGATGTCACAGCTGAGAGTGTAGGATGTTTACACGCCTGGTCACACACACAAAAACACCACAGGACCATAAAGCCATCGGGTCGAACAAAGACAATGGTTTAGCTGAGCGAGGAGGATCATTGAATATATTGTGTAAATTTCTTCTTTTTTTCTTCCCACTGTGGTATTTCGAGTTACTCGTATTTGATTTTGGTTTTTTCATCCCTGGCGTGCCTAAAAGAATTCAAGTTCAGTTTAAGGAATGTTGCTTTGATTTTTGTTGTACTGATTCCCAAAGCTTTTGTTTAATGATGATAATAGACACCCAATTTTAATTCATAGCTAAAATATGATCATATATCATAAACTAGAAAAAAAAAGTATAAAATCTCAAAGAACAGACTTAAGTAACTCTTGAAAGGCAGTTTAGATGTTTATCTTTATGTTGCTACTCTACAGAAACATTTGAGGGAAGTGCTCAGGGTGTAACTAGCAAATAATCTACAATGTAAATTCAAAGTACATGTTCTGTTAAATAGGACGCATATGTATATTTCTTAAATTGCATGTAGTGAGTCCCTTATTTCAACTGAAAGAATTGAAATTGCTGTGGCACATAACCACACATGGTTGTTTTTGGAGTCAGGCACATGGTGATACGGGTGCGTTCGTAAAATACACATAGAAGAAAAGATTAAATATGATGTCTGGTTGTGCAGAGATAGGGGAAGCAGGGTGCTGCAAACATCCGACTGAAAGCCTTCACAAACCCTACACCCAGCTTCCAGTCAAGGATGTTTACAGCGCCCCCACGCTGCCAAAGACAATACAGCACCATCTCCTCTTCACAGATGCTAAAGAAAAAAAAATTGTAGATGCTGATTAATTTTGACAGCTTGAAGCTCGACACCTCTGGGCTTTCAACCTACACCAATAAGGTTTCAAATGATCCTGTAATGGGCTGATCAAAGTAATCAGGGCTCAAGTGTTGTGTGAGAGAGTAGATACGATAAAGTTTCAGGCTTTTGTCCACCAGACCGTAGTATAACATACACTAGGGTAATGACAAGGGCAAACAGTGCCCTACAGATACCAGTTTTCTTACCTGTGCTGACATATTTCCTATTAAAATAGGAAGTTTCAGCGGGACGTAATCAAAAGAGTAACTCGTTTCTTTTAAATAGTCAAGAGGCTTTATTTACATCATAGCCATATATAATGATATGCTACTTGCTGTGTCACGCAAGATGAGTCATCAAAATATGTGCTGTTTTTCCTGTGTTAAATGTGTATGTTTGATAAATGTTAATGAAAGCTGCATCCAAAATCACATGCTCTCTGAACAGGCAGGTACTTTGCAACTGATAAAAAGGTATGTTTCATACAGTATGAATGCACTCTTGACATTCTATATTAGTCATGTTGTCATTGTCATGTAACCTATCAGTTTCAGTTGGGTATCTTCACTGCCATTCACAAATCCTCTCCTGCAGCCTCATGAGCCTGCATGTCCATCAGATGTGCACTTTGGTAGTAAGCAAGCATTTTGCCTAATGTTTTATGAATGCAATGAATTCCGACATACTATTTTCACATACTGAAATAGAATGGAATTATGTGATTTCGGATGCAGTCTTAGTCTCAAAGCTAATTGTTTTATGCTATGGTCCATATATGTACTGCGTTCTTGGGTTTGTGGCAAGTGTGTGAGAATTACCTGGCCCTGCTGGGGCTGAGCGATGATAATCTGTCCGGGCTGCAGTGTGGTGGCGGTGGGAGCAGCCACCTGCTGGCCTTGCTGCTGACCTTGGACCTGCACTGCACTGGGCTGCTGCGCCAGAGTGAAGTAATACTGGACCGGCTCAGTCGGGGCGACAGACTGACGCACTTCCTCCTACACAGACAGGCACAATTATAGAGAAATGTATACCTTATATTGCAGCACACCTCAGCAGGATCTTCATAAATGCAAGAGAGCATCCAACAATCCCATAAACAAACACAGATGAAATCAAGAGTTCATAAGGCCTATCTGCTGGTTACATCTCCATAAATTATTTTAGCTCTGTAACACTACAGGCAGGATGAGGATATATTACTTCTAGGCAAAGCAAGAGCGAGTAATGCAATCTTCTAGCTGGACAGAAACGAGACCTTTAGCTGCAGTCTGTGGCCTGAACTCCCACACTCAACCGCAGCGTAATGGCAGGCAATCAGCTGTCCTATTCTAACACAAACAGCAGGAATACCCAAACGTTTGTACCCAGAAGAGTATCTTTATATTTGGTCGTCATCCATTCCTGAAGATTTATTTGTAACAAAGAGAGTAAACATCCCTCTCCCAGCTTGGTGATGTCACAGCTGAGAGTGTAGGATGTTTACACGCCTGGTCACACACACAAAAACACCACAGGACCATAAAGCCATCGGGTCGAACAAAGACAATGGTTTAGCTGAGCGAGGAGGATCATTGAATATATTGTGTAAATTTCTTCTTTTTTTCTTCCCACTGTGGTATTTCGAGTTACTCGTATTTGATTTCGGTTTTTTCATCCCTGGCGTGCCTAAAAGAATTCAAGTTCAGTTTAAGGAATGTTGCTTTGATTTTTGTTGTACTGATTCCCAAAGCTTTTGTTTAATGATGATAATAGACACCCAATTTTAATTCATAGCTAAAATATGATCATATATCATAAACTAGAAAAAAAAAAAGTATAAAATCTCAAAGAACAGACTTAAGTAACTCTTGAAAGGCAGTTTAGATGTTTATCTTTATGTTGCTAATGCTCTCTACAGAAACATTTGAGGGAAGTGCTCAGGGTGTAACTGGCAAATAATCTACAATGTAAATTCAAAGTACATGTTCTGTTAAATAGGACGCATATGTATATTTCTTAAATTGCATGTAGTGAGTCCCTTATTTCAACTGAAAGAATTGAAATGGCTGGTAAAATCTGTGACTGGACGCACATAGTTGTTTTTGGAGTCAGGCACATGGCACTATGGCCACATTCGTAAAATAAACAAGCAATGAATAAATATGATGTCTGGTTGTGCAGAGATAGGGGAAGCAGGGTGCTGCAAACATCCGACTGAAAGCCTTCACAAACCCTACACCCAGCTTCCAGTCAAGGATGTTTACAGCGCCCCCACGCTGCCAAAGACAATACAGCACCATCTCCTCTTCACAGATGCTAAAGAAAAAAAAATTGTAGATGCTGATTAATTTTGACAGCTTGAAGCTCTTCTCTTTTCCACACCTGTCGTTTTGGAGGCTTGAGGTCATCGCGGGGGACGATATCAATGAGGAAGTCAAACTGATCAAACTTAGTGATGGCCATGGCAATGTCATTCCTCTGGAAAACAGAAAATAAGATCAGAGAGTCAAAAACAAATAAAAAAAAAAGTCTAAAACACCACATTTAACAAATGGTCATAGGAAGAAAAAGGGATGACACTCATTTTTTTCTAAATAAAATTATGCAGCACTATTTGATAAAACAAAATTATAATGTATCCCACTGTCTGCATCAACCGTTCTTAGCGAACAGTAACACGATCTCACCCCACAGACCATCTACTAGTGGTATTTTCCACAGGATATTGGATGCAAAGACCACCCATTGTCACCCCCCAAATCAGCAGCTATTTTTAGCATCATGTTTAATATCTGGTGGTGAAGGGTCACATCCATGCAGTTGTTCCATTGACGACTGTTGTCGTGGCGACACCATTTGGAACTGTGGGCCAGCTGCAAGCTCACAGGCTGAGCGGTAATACCATCTACATATTAAAGAGATGGTCTAACAGTCATTACAGCTTTGTTCAGTGACAAAACCTGTTGCTGAACACCATGTCGGAAAAAGGATATGTTGACATGTGCTGCTACATTGCAAACTATTGGACTGTTTATATATATATATATATATACACACACACACTCACATACATATATACACACACACACACACAAAATATAACAATAGTAAGATATTTAGATATATTTTTTATAGATTTTATATATATATATATATAATTATATCACAAACTAGAAAAATTATCAAAAGTATAAATACATATATTTATATCTTGAAGAACAGACTTAAGTAAGTCTTGAAAGGCAGTTTAGATGTTTATCTTTATGTTGCTAATGTGCTCTACAGAAGCATCTGAGAGTGTGACATTTCATATATTTCTTTAATTTCATGTAGTGTGTCCCTTATTTCAACTGAAAGAATAAAAATAGCTGGTAAAGCATCTGAGTGGCTGGTAAAATCTGCGATTGGCAGGGTTAGAAATTCTTCTTTTAGTTTGCCAATCACAGTTCTGCTGCCATTGCTGTGGCACATAACCACACATGGTTGTTTTTGGAGTCAGGCACATGGTGATACGGGTGCGTTCGTAAAATACACATAGAAGAAAAGATTAAATATGATGTCTGGTTGTGCAGAGATAGGGGAAGCAGGGTGCTGCAAACATCCGACTGAAAGCCTTCACAAACCCTACACCCAGCTTCCAGTCAAGGATGTTTACAGCGCCCCCACGCTGCCAAAGACAATACAGCACCATCTCCTCTTCACAGATGCTAAAGAAAAAAAAATTGTAGATGCTGATTAATTTTGACAGCTTGAAGCTCTTCTCTTTTCCACACCTGTCGTTTTGGAGGCTTGAGGTCATCGCGGGGGACGATATCAATGAGGAAGTCAAACTGATCAAACTTAGTGATGGCCATGGCGATGTCATTCCTCTGGAAAACAGAAAATAAGACCAGACAGTCAAAAACAAATTCAAAAAGACTAAAACATCACATGTAACATATAGTCACAGGAATAGCGGTGACATACAAATCCCAAAAAAGGATGTAGCTCAAAATAAAATTGTGCCGCAATATTTGATAATATAATATGATAATGTATGCCACTCACTACATCAAACGGTCTTAGTGAACAGTGACACGATCTCACCCTACAGACCATCTACTAGTGGTATTTTCCACAGGATATTGGATGCAAAGACCACCCATTGTCACCCCCCAAATCAGCAGCTATTTTTAGCATCATGTTTAATATCTGGTGGTGAAGGGTCACATCCATGCAGTTGTTCCATTGACGACTGTTGTCGTGGCGACACCATTTGGAACTGTGGGCCAGCTGCAAGCTCACAGGCTGAGCGGTAATACCATCTACATATTAAAGAGATGGTCTAACAGTCATTACAGCTTTGTTCAGTGACAAAACCTGTTGCTGAACACCATGTCGGAAAAAGGATATGTTGACATGTGCTGCTACATTGCAAACTATTGGACTGTATATATATATATATATACACACACACACTCACATACATATATACACACACACACACACAAAATATAACAATAGTAAGATATTTAGATATATTTTTTATAGATTTTATATATATATATATATATATATATATATATAGATAGATAGATAGATAGATAGATTTCATTTTAAAATAAAATATTAAAATTAAATATGTTTAATCTAACTCCTCTAACACATTCAGTTATTTAGGTTAAGAAATTTTAATTAAATGTCACATAATAATAATAATCTATAAAAATGTATATATCTTTTAATAAATAATATTTTATAGATGTCATTATTATTAATGTTCAATCCAAGCATTAAGGGACCACTTTATGAGTATCAATCAGGGTTCAGGACAGTGTTTCACAGCACAGGGGGGGCAAAATCAATGGAAAAAAGTAAGTGGGTCATGGTAGATACTTTTAGACTCTACGCTACAGTGGAACAGAGATAAGCCTTGGGGGCCTGTGGGGGGCTCTTCCCATAAACAGACAAGCTATGTCATGACTCCAGTGCATGTAGTATTAGGAGGGACCTTTTTTTTTATCTTTGCCGTAATGTTTTGGGGTTGGACCTATTCACATGGAGAACAGAAGATAATAGGAACAATGGCTAAAGGTGCAGTCACATTAGCAAAATATTAGTGAAATTTTATGGGAAAAAATGTCCATTGTCAATAGTGTAGTGATGTATGAAGCACAGCTCACACAGAAGTCATTTTCAAATTGAGCAGATTTCTGTTGGTGATCGCGGCAAGTTCACAAGTCCAACTTGAACATGAGCGAACACTGCGTGGAGATCTTTTTCGCTCTGAAACAAAACTCCAGTTTGCAGTTATTCCTATTGAAATGACTGGATTTTGCCAATGAAATTTCGCCAAGCAATGGTAAATGTGACAGTCAGGAAAACAGTCAGGAAATAATAAGGGGAAGATGGTGGTTGGAATCAGGAAATAAATCCAAGTTTGTCTTAAATTGAGAACTACTATACATATGGCGATAGCCAGACACATGGCTTAGCAGGTAGTGCTCTGAAATACAGGGTGCAGGTGACCAGTTCAAAGTAATTTCCTGATCCCACCCACCATCTTCCTTCTATCGTTTTCAGTCTTCTTCAAAAACAAAAAAATAAAAAATTTTCAAGGAGACTGGTTTATCTCAGCTGGCTAGGGCGAGGGGTCAAAGGGAAGTTGAGAATGAACATGACTGACCTGTAGTGTGCGTCGCTTGTTGTCCTCAGTGTGAATCCAGGCTCTGAGAGTGAGCTCTGTGATGAAGATCTGTGCTGCTTTGGCAAACAGCACTGGTGCCTCGGCACTGATCATCTATGGATGATTACCAAAGCAAGTTAATAAAGGGGAAATGAAAGGACGACATACAATCCTATCCAGACACTCACTATGCCCATGCCCATCATGTTTTGGCCTGCCAACATACAGATGGACATATGTAGTGGCCTAAGAGGCTACGTCAAAAACTGACCCAGGGGTCTTGCCCATGCCACTGCTCCTGAGCTCTTAACTGCCTTGGCTTTTCTCTCTTTCCACTCTAAGCTGCAGGTAATTTTGAGAGTCTGGACAACACCCTGACCTGATGCCTGCTTCCCACGCAGCTAAGGCTGTGTGGGAAGATCATGCCCTGTGGCATCTACAACATCAAAATATCTTTGTATTGTCCAACTGAGCACAAAGAAAAGGAGGAGTTAAGCTAAAGGGTTAAACTATCAAGCAAATACACCAAACCTTATGTCTAATAATTTTTATTTCTCTTGCTCTATGAAACCACACTAAAAGGGCATCAGTGTGTGTTACCGCTACTCAATACTTGGCTCACAGCACTCTTGAAATGACCTCTAGCTCTTTCGACAGTACTGATGCCATGTTCTTATTTATACTTAAAGGTTTGTTTATGTGCATGTTACTTTGTTAAAGGATCTGGCAAATAGTGTAAATATTGGCAATACATGGAACTGAGGTTGTTATAAGAGAAGTTATTTTTAGTTCTCGGAAAAATTCTATTCAATGTTTACACACTACCAAATATCAGGCTGTTTCACAGAAAATGGCCAGATGACTGGATATAATAGTTTTTCTATTCACAATGCTGAGAAAATAATAGATTACTGTTTTTGTAGTGGTCCAAATCAGACTGCACTGCAGCTGAAGCCACTGAAAATATTTACTTTTCATTTGGAGAAGACCACAAAAACATTCAATTTTGATTTGATGCCTTAAAAATCAACTAGAAAACTTTATAAACATACTTTCATTAATGGCAGTTTGCGAATTAAATTGACCATATATGGATTATTTAATTTGTATATGCTGAAAAATATCTTTGCTAGGGTGAGATGGAAGGTTGCCAGGGCATTGCAAAGGGCATTGGGCTGCCAGGGCATTGTTCACAGGGGTTTGAAGCATGTCGATATATGGTTGCTAGCATGTTCTGATGATTTCTAGGAGACTTTTGGGTCAGTCTAGGTGGACTAAGCAAAAGGATCCCATAGTAGTGTTGTACTACTGTAATTTTTTTCCCCCATAACACCGAAACCAAAATGAATGATTTCATTTAGCCAAAAACTGAAACCAAAAATAAAAGTTTTGTTAACTGAATTTGGATAACAGGGTAATTGAACTTGGTATGCAGTTCAGAGTGTCATATCCACATGTCATAAATGAAGACTAGTTAAAAGCAAAGTTCTTTGGCAACCTATCAATATTTCAGCTGAACAAAATTTACATATTGCTATTCTAGAATCATTTTTGGGCAGAGTGATGTATGCCCAGTTTGCTGACACGTTTACCTGTTGTAGCTTATCAACATGATGTGCACAACGTAGTTGCTGACCCAGATGAAACCGAAAATAACGGTTTTTCGTTATTTTAACATTTTCAGTTGCTGAATTTGGGTGCTTCACTATCCCATAGGGTCCCTAGAAAAGGTTCTGCGATATTCATCAAAATCGATGGGATTTTTTGGCCTTCTTATTTTGGCAGGCAAGTTAGGTCATTTAAGACGCAGCATACTAATCCTCAAGCCACATGATTTGATTCATGTCTATAGCACAAATAGTATAGAACATTCATAACTTCAATACTATGACTGAAGATTTGAAACCAAACAAACAAACAAAAAAAACTGCAAGTAGGAGCAATAGTAATAGCAGTGTTTCCCCTAGGTTTACGGCTTTGGGGGGGGGGGATCTATCTTTTAAGTAATAAAAAATTAAACAAATATAATTTTTTGGAAAATAAAGGTAATTTAATATTACAATTAAAACATTGAAGAAATACTGAATGCTTATTCCTTAAAAATAAAGTTTTAATAATTTTAATAATAGTAGTAGCAGCCTGTTACGTACATTCTACTCAACAGTAGTAATATGTAAGTAATAGCCAATGCCCTCAAGTTAAACCGAACTTTTATTTTGACGGGTTGCCGTGAATACAATTACATTTCTGTGTGTGTATGACATGAGGATAGTTTTACTGAAATGAAACGGTCAAATGCTCATGAAGTGACTCTAAGGGCAGTTCTGGAGATGTTATTCATGTATTTATGTCCTCATTAGTGAGACGGCAGAGGTTAATATCACTGTCTAGTGGGAGTGGGCTTACTTGTGTGTGTGTGTGTGTGTGTGTGTGTGTGTGTGTGCGCGTGAGTACGCGCATCAGGCGGAACTACGCTGTGCGTGATACAGAGAGCGCGACCATAACGTAGAGACTGAAATGACATGCCGTCGTGTAAATAAGATAAATAACATAAGGCTATTTAGTTTGCTTAATGAAAGAACAAGGTATAGACATGTTCTATAAGAAAGGTAACTTTAAATGACTTCTGTTGTGATCTGGTGCTATAGAGAAAATATAATTAAATAAAATTATCTTGACATTCAAGGGGGGCCGCCCCCCTAAAATAATGGCAGGGGAAACACTGTATTATATTACAACATTATATTATATTATCAGATTATCTTGGTGCAAGTAAATACAGAAAAGGGGAATTAAACCATCTCAGCAAAACAATAAAGCAAAACAAAAAGTGAATTCACACACAATTTGGAAAGCCCCTCTGACTCAGGTTAAAATTTATGGGCAATAGTAGGATCACCCACACAGGCCTGAAAAAAAGGGGGCCTGACACAACACCAGAGCACTATAAAGGTCCGTCTCTGACATCTGATGTTTCAAAACAGAAACAGAACCTACACTCAGCTGTACTTTCTAAGGGGAAATCCACCTCACATCTACAGACAGTCAGAGAAAGCGTAACAAATGTTTATATGGTGAAAGAATATTGTTTATCACTAATCACAGGTTTGCATTTTACCTATTTGTTTAAAATGCTATTGTATGAGGTGATCACAGTCACAAAAAAGCCTGACAGAATGCATTTACTGTGCTCTGTGAACCCCTCGACTGCCTCTGATCCACTAAAGCCACAGGGTTTCCTGTGAAAAGACAAAGAGTGCTGAAAAGTTACTGCGTAACAGCTTCCTAGACAGCTGTATCCTTCACAAACAACATTAAGAAAACACAAAAACAATGCAGAATTCCTCCTGCCAAAATCAGGGAGGAGTTAAAAGATGTTAGAGGACAAGCCCTATTACGTGTCCTCTTTAACTTATTCACATCAAGAAAAACAAGATTATATTAAAAATAGATATCAACAGGCTGTGTTTTTGACAGCTTGGTTTATCATGACATGGCATAACTATTCACACATTTTATTTAGTTTTAGTTCAGTTTAGTTTTATTAAGTTAAGACTAGTTCAATTTGAAAAATGCATCTTTTTGAATGCAAAACTAGCTGTTTTTAAACATAGGAAAGTGTTGTGCGAATGTGCTGCTCATGGCGTGAAATGCTGAAAAACTGCTGTCCGTCTGGTGTAAAACTAAAAAAACTGCATAATACAAAAACACGTCCTGCACGAACTGCTTTGCTGTTGTAAAAATATAAAGTGAGAAAGTAAATAGACGAGGTCAGATGAAAGGAATTTAAAGCAGCAGTGATCAATCTGCTTGTCCTCCTGCTGATCATTATAAGCCTGGCTTCAAAAGGCTAGCATTCATTCATATTTTTATTATGTGTCATAACATTGTCTAAATACCTCACCACATGTTTGCTTTTATTGCCTTGGCCGGGTCGGACACATAGCTGTGACAAATACTGTCTCTGGGAATGATTTGATCTCATAATACATTATTTATAAATGCCCAGAACAGATAACAGCTTAAGCCACTGTAAGCTCTGACCAAATCTCTTTTCTGTATAAAAATAATAATGCTCATTTGTGCCGTGAGGGTTATGGATTTGGGTTAGGTTTTATATGTTTTCTCAAGATGCACAGTCCTGTACGAGTTATTAACCTAGAGAGAGACTGGATACGCAGAGCGAAGCTGCAGTCTGTGTATTTTGGCATTGCTCAGTAGGTTTTTCAGCACACTCGGTTACAGCGCATTAAACCTCAGTACAGAGTGATGGCCAGATTCACTGCTGAAAACAGTGGAAAAAGGCAGAGAATTCATGTATTTATGTCCTCATTAGTGAGACGGCAGAGGTTAATATCACTGTCTAGTGGGAGTGGGCTTACTTGTGTGTGTGTGTGTGTGTGTGTGTGTGTGTGTGTGCGCGTGAGTACGCGCATCAGGCGGAACTACGCTGTGCGTGATACAGAGAGCGCGACCATAACGTAGAGACTGAAATGACATGCCGTCGTGTAAATAAGATAAATAACATAAGGCTATTTAGTTTGCATAATGAAAGAACAAGGTATAGACATGTTCTATAAGAAAGGTAACTTTAAATGACTTCTGTTGTGATCTGGTGCTATAGAGAAAATATAATTAAATAAAATTATCTTGACATTCAAGGGGGGCCGCCCCCCTAAAATAATGGCAGGGGAAACACTGAATAGTGAAGCTTGCCATAGCAAACTACACTAGTTATTGACGCAACTTGCCACTTGATGTTCAGCAGACAATTGCTGCGTTGCTGCTTTCTCAAGAATCAAAGACAGGAAGTGTGCTGCCGTCAGCTTAGAGTGATTGTGTTGATTCAGCTCGGCTGCTCTTACCTTCACATCCTCATCCAGTTTCATAATTTTCTTGATGCGAGCAAGAGGAAGCTCTTGCACACGGAAATCCTTCTGAAACAGTGCGAGAGTGCCTTAGAGGAGAACTCACAATAACATGAATAATTCCTCATAATGAACAGTGGTAGACTCTTGTTGAGATACTACATAGTTGACTACAATTTTCCAGTAAAGACTTTTTAGGGTTTGTTTTGAGAAAGGCAGTGTTTATACTGTATCCAAGTGATAAGCTAGGTAAAAAAAGCTAGGAGAAACCCGTACCACGGTAAGATTCCTGATTTCTTCCATCACTCTGGGCCAAAAGGACTGTAGGCTCTGCTGGGCATCGCTGCCGCCTGCTCCAAATGAGTCTGCCGACATCTCCAGATCTGCTAGGAGATAAAGAGGGAGAGAAAACACGACAAGTCAGGGTTAATGTTCACATACAAGCCTCATAATTCACGTAAACTTCTTGAGCTTTGAGATAATAAACCACAATATACACTGTTTAGTTTGGGATGAAGAAGTCTGAATAATTGTGTGTGATAGCTGTGCGTCGCTACAGTAAAATGCCTGGCGCAACTGTCGATGGGGCGATTGGTCAACTCAGCCATGCGTAAACTAAGCCAGGAAACCATCTGTGAAAAACCTGGAGAACAAAGTCCTCCTCCGTGCCAGTGACCTGAAGCCTGGAGTGCACATCTGGATACCCAAATAGCTTTGGAACTGAACTGACAGTACGGCTCGGCACTGACGCAACGGAGACAATCCAAACACAAACTAAAGCAAACTGAAAAAGCAAGAGGAGCAATGCTGGCAGGTTACTATGGCATGTGAGGAATTCTGCAGGCAGCCTGCCTGAGCTTGCGCTGCCACGGACGCTACAAAGCACCTCTCTCTTTCTCTGGAAGAAAACACAGGGCCAGAAATAGCAGGGTGGGGTGCCACAGGAGCCGGAGTGAGGCAGTAAAAAAAGTACTCGAACTTGTGCAGTTCAGCCATAATCCAATAACAAGACAAAGTGCCAAGGGCTTAATGGAGGGGGAGCAGTTGGACTGCCGAGAAGCCTCACTATGTGGGTCAAACGGAGGAACAACACAGTGAAACGTGCGTGATTACTGGTGAAAAGCAGTGACCTGCTTTTATCTCTTACTCCTCTTATGTATTTCGAAGGATTAGGATGATTACAATCACACTGATAAAAAAAAAAAAAAATGTTTAGTGTCACAGTCTTTATTTGCCTCCAAAATAATCATGATCAGTGACATTAGACAAGCAAGCATAATACAAATCAATGATCAATTTGTGACTGCTGTCAATAAGTTCTAGACTCATTTCAGGCCTGATTGAAGCAGTCAACTGTCAATCAAATTCATTATGCATGCTTATAATAAGAAAAACACAGGAGGTCATTGGCAGTCGCTCTGCTGCTGGGAAGCAACAGCATCAGGTGTCTATCTCACTACGGTCTTCTGCAGTACATCTGTGAGTGTGGATGTGCCAGCTCCGGCTTGATAAGAAATAATTTAACATCTCAAGTAAGACAATTAAGAAAACTAGCTGGATAATTAGCAGGCGATAACAGCGGCAAATTACTGTCATGGACATGGGAAATTGTGAGGCAAATTAAATGAGATAACACACCATTAAAGGAGACATAAATAGGTTAAATCAAAGCTCGCTTAGACCAGCTGCTTGAGTGGGAGCTATTTTTGACTCCTTTAACCAGATCGAGACACACAACCTGAGATGGGAGGAGCAAGACCTCTGGCTTAGCATTGTGGGTAGAATCCTTGTTCTTTTGAGGTTATGTTTTGTATTGTGTTAAAGCAAAATAATAATTAAAAGGGGCAACTTTCAAATATTAACAAGCTAGATACAGAGAAGCAACTTTTAAAATATGTTGTTTTTTTTTGCCCAAGAAATAATAATCATTTGCTTAGGGCTGGGCGATATGGCCAAAAAAATCATATCTCTGTATTTTTTGGCTGAATTGCGATATACGTTATATATCTTGTTTTTTTCTAAGTTTTTCTATTTGGATTAAATATATATATAAATATATATATAGCAATGTTCTCTCTAAGACAGCGCAGAAGAAATAATATGCCACGCACAGCAAACATGTAAAAATGAGTTGGGAAAACCATTTGATTTAATTCTAGTAAACTAGCTTACAGATCTCAGTTTAAAAGCTTCAGTTTGTTTTCTATTGTATTCTATTCTATTCCATCAGTTTAAATTCTTCAGTTTGTTTTTATATTATATTTTATTATAAACCTAATAAATAAAAAAAACTCAAAAAGGGAATTCATGAGCAATATCCGCTTCATTTTGTTCATATTATATTATTATAAAGAATTGAACTGTTCTGCGTGAGATTTAAAAAAAAAAGATTTTTAATAGAATTTCTTGGTAACAGCACTGTAAAAATGTTTTCTCAGGTAACCTAAGATATGCATCATTTAGTTACAACAAGGGTCAAATAAAATATAAATAGCACATTAAAGTTTGTGTGTGCACTGTACAGGTCTGGTATAAGTTTTTGCTCAGGTGGCCAAAATGTCCGCCCAATAGAGAAAGGTTTTGATCAGCAAGAAAAAAGAAACTTTTTTTTGAGGGCACATTGCTTACAAGTTATTTTAAAGCCCTTTAATATAAACATGTCTCATGTTTAGGACAAACTGGATTATGCACTTTACCCACAGCAGCTCACTGGATATCGATATAAACGGTATTGCCTCATACCATATAGCTTATTAAAAATATATCGATAAATCATATAAACTTGATATACCACACAGCCCTAACTGACAATTTTGACTTTAAAAAGTGTTATATCGTTGACCCAACTGCAACCATAACGGAACTACATCATCACAATGTAATTCAAACCAACTTTAGACAGGACACAAAAAGGTAAGTGAGGCTCAGTGCACGTGCTTCAATTCTCAGTCACGATCGTCCTTCATCAAGTCAGAACGCAGCGGTGGTGTAGGATTTCTCCTGAAATGTTCGGTTGCCTTGACGGCAATGACCGCTGGTGCTCTGTGTCTCAGAAAGTCAATGCCGCCAGCAGAGGCTGAATCAGCAAGAACATCACTGCCAGCCTGGCTTTCGCTGTGCAGGAGGACTGCAGCAAAGGAATGCTCGAACATTTCAGTGTGATCGGGGACAAGCGGTTCTCAAACACTTGAGATATTGCAAATTACCCCCTTGACAAGAGATGAGTTAAGCTGGTTGTGCAGCAGATATTTAATGGTTGGAGAAAGTGTGGCCTGAGGCCTCCAAGGAGGAGAAACTGCTGTGACACAAACACAACATAACAATTTCACATACATTTACTGTAGAACAACCTCTTTCTCATGCAGGAGAGATTCAAATCAGCTGTGCTGATGCTGACATGTGGATGCTAGCTGTTGTGTTGACTTGAGATCTAAGCTACCTCTCAGACATGAAGCTCACCTCTAGAATGAGCCTAATTTTAACAGCCAGGACTTAAAAAGCTCTTTTCAAAGTCTGCTTTTTAGTTTGACAGGCCCATATTGAACTCAACCACAGAACTGCTTGCCATTTCAGAAGAAACCGCTTTCCACTGGAGACGCTGTTAAACTTTAACACTCATCTCAACATCATGTCATACGTCTCTATTTTTGCTCACACCCCTCATTTCCAGCCTGCCTCCCCTATATAGTTTAGGAATACCAAATGTAAATGCATACCAAATGATGAATGCACATAGAGGTAATTCAATCTTATCTAATATCGGAGCATTCCAGAGGGAAAAATTTTCAAGAACAGGTGAAGAAAATAATATGAGAAAGATACATATGTTAGAATGAAAATTAAGAGCTTTTAAATATATTTTAAAAGAACTTTTTAGTTCGATTTTAGTCAGAATAAAACAACAATGTGTATTTTTAAAATGTCATCTAAACACGTTGGTCAGACTGAAATAAAACCAGTCAGGGTTTTGCAAAGTCATATAGACTCCAATATTGAGACTGCATATACATTAACTGTACTACAAATTATGCGATGAGGATTAAAATCTTGAAATAATCGATCACACATTGTGTCATGTACAACCTGCTTATAACTGCACATGCAAATGCACTTACTGACAACTCTTTTTATTAAATATTACGCATTGTGTCCTATATACTTGGATAGGCTTAGCGCAACTATGCAAAAACTTGTGTATAACTGCGCATGTAAGTAACTTACTCTTTTTTGCTGTTAAGAGTAACTTACTCTTAAGTAAGAGTAAGAGTAAAAAGTAAGAGTAACTTACTCTTTTTATTACACAACATACATACAACTCTTTATTACATATTACCTAAGACCCTGAACCAAAACCAGCCTCAATAAAATTACAGAACACAGACAAGTTGTTTTCTATGATCATTCTGTCATACAGAAAGGTCACATTTCTAAAGCTACATTCAGGACTTATTAACTACCCAAGCATTCACACAGAAAGGCCAGCTGGTAAAAAAACTAAACAAATAAACAAATAAAACATATATATTGACAAAGCCTGCTGAGGTTACTGGCTAATCATCGACTCAGACACAAAAAAATGCACCCGGCAATGAATTACAAATTAACCAACAAAAAGCTGTGCTTATTTTGCTCTAATGTTGGGAGCAAAAAACATAGGGGCTGGACAATACCGCCACTCTGATCCGTGTCTAATCTCATGGATCAATCATTCTAAATTTGCCCTTGGTTCTGCCTCACATCAACTCCAGGAAGCCGTCCCTGAACTCTCAAGGTCATTCGGCAATAAGCAGGAAGGGGGGGGGGGTAAAATAATACACAGTTTAGGGGGAGGGAGAGAGAGAGAGAGAGAGAGAGTGAAGGATATACTATAGCACAGAAAGAAAGCAAACGGAGACTGGTTTTTCAACTTTCAGTGAAGCAACTTGGCGACCCTACTGTGTGTAATGATGGTGAATGGCCCCCTCTTGTCTGTGCCCCTGAGGGATGCACTGTGCTCTTGGTCTCACACTCTCCCCACTGACGGATCGAATGCGGGAGCCGCTCTCACATTCCTGTGACCTTCATCCACTGATGGGCCCATTAGCAATGGCAAGGTGTGACGACGTGTCGACGCAAGCACCAGAAACCCAACTGTAAACTTTAAAGGTTCTGCGCTGACATTTCAAAACAACCTCAAGCGCAAAACTCCGGGAACGAGAGGGAATGTGCAAAAACATTAGTCAGGTGTGACATTTTACCCTTGAACATCATTGCAAACTGGTGCAGTAAGGAGCTAAAATTATATTAAAATCTTAACCGAACACATCATGCTGAGAAGCAGCAGTCAAGGCTCTACCTAGAGTTATTTTTAGTAACTCCTTTCCCCAAAAGGACCTTAATACCATCACTAATGGAAACTTTCTAGTACACAAGCGAAAAAGAGATTTTAATCCGACCGGATTCCATAATGAGGCAATGTGTGAGGACAGCCGTCTGTACATGATGAACTAAGGGGCTAAAAGTCCCCATATAAACCCCAATCCATGATGGTCACGTAAAGCCCACATCCATAATGTCCTCTGCTCTGCTTCACTGTCTACACAAGAGTGTAAACAAGCCATGAAACTGGGCCTTGAAAGGTGAACCGGAACTAGCGGTCCTATGCAGCCAGGGCCATCATTTCTATCTGTCTCTGTAAGCAACACAGTTGTACCAGAGATACACAACAGCACGGGACCTTCAATAGGTCCAAAGTCAAAGTGAATGAACTGAACTTAAGAGGTCAGCTGCGATCAAAGAGTACGCCATGCAGTTCAACGATGGAAAGTTAAAATTCCGTATGCAAAACCAGTGAAATTTCCAGATAGTTAATGTTTACATCATCACGTCAAACATTGGTAGTCTGGTTAAGGACTTCAAAATGAACAAGACAGAAAACACAAAGATGTACACTCAGATTTCAAGCAAGGGGAAAAGTAGAGGACGAAAGGAGGAGGAGAAAAGCGCAGCGGAGGACAGAGGAAGCATCCCATTACTGCAGCGAGAGAGAGCGAGAGAGAGAGCTTTACTGTCTGATTGCAGTCGCAAGTCACACTTACCCCGTGCCCTTCATATGCTGCGCTGTGGGCGCTGGAGAACAGGAGGACATCTCGAAAGTCTCCTTAACTGTCTAGTCCACAGGCTTGGTCCCAGGAGGAGACAAAAGGCTGTGGGACAGGCGATCTGCTGCTGCTTTCAAAGCCCCGAGCCGAGGGGAGCGCGATCACCTACCGCCGCCCCCCGTTCCGACCCCTCCCCCTTCTACTAGCCCATCTTCTTCAGCCACCCCCCTCCCCCCTTTCCTAAACACACAACCCACTCCCATTCCTCCCCTGAAGTCGCCTGGAGCCTGGAGTTGGCCTCTGCCTGGCAACCCTACTATTTGTCTTTCAGCTGACCCCTGCCTCGGCACGAGTGACCGGAAAAACAGGCGAGAAAGTGAGGGAGAGGTGGAGAAAAGGGATGGATGAAAAGAAATAAAAGTGTGAGAGCAATGCAGAGCAGCAGAACAAGTCGGAGCAAAAATCTCCTGACTGCTTTCCCTTTAACACTCGACTGTAATCAATCTAGCTTGCTAAACGATACTCTCGGCCCGCCTATCTCCAAGAACCTGCCCCTTTGCTGGATTCTTCAAATGAGCCCGAGTCGGTCTCTGCCGCTATTGGCCTAGCCAGCCGTCTGTAGGCCGTGTCATCCCCCTCCTCCCTGCTTACCCTCTCCACTCCGCCCCCTTTTACAGACACCCAACTTCCTGTTTTAAGTTACCTTGAGCTGCAGGATAGGGGTCAGGGAATGAAAAGAACGAGAGAGAAAAAAACAACCAGACAAAAGCAGCAGAAAGTTGCAAAAAGCACGCAGGGAGGGCGGAGGATCGTCTCGGTTAGCGAGTCTTTAAAAATCTGTCCCCTGCAGATCGTCTTCCCTACTGTGGCTGGACGGAGCTGGACTGAATAACTGACTTCTCAAACAACTGTCCCTTGCTTATTTACAAAGTCAAACTAAATGTCTCTAAAACCCGCCCCTCGGAGGAGCGGATTGGCCAGGCGTGCAGTAATGCAAATGAGCCCATGAACAGTGATTGGCTCAGGGTGGTCTCATAGAGGGTACCAGCATGCTGTAGCCGCATGATTTAAAGTGGAAAGTCACTCAGGTCAGACTTGCAGTCTCATTTGAGTGAAAGAACATGCATGCAGTGCAGCACATGAAACCTAAACTCAACATTAACTGTGTCCTAAATGAATGTAAAGTTGACCTGAAGGGTCATGTCAAATGGTTTAACCTCTAATACGTGTAACCAACCATACAGCACAATCTCATGTGACCAAAAAGTATACATGTTATGCAACTGTTATTACGCTTATTTGTTAACTTTTCATTTAATTATGGTTATTAGTAGAAAAATACAAATGGGGCAGTCACATTTGCCACTGTTCAGCTAATTCACACAAAATTTCACCAGAAATCCAGTTATTTCTAATCTATGCAATCTGAAATTTTGAGTTAAGTCACTTCTGCTTAAGCTGAATCTATCTACATACTATTGTCAATACTTTTTTGCCCACAAAATCTTGCTAATACAATCACACCTTAACTTGCTTAACATCATCACTTGATTCTTTATTAGTCTCGTTATTTCCCGAAACTTCATGTCACCACATGCAAAACGCCCTATGCACCTTCCGCCCAAATCCAATTGATGCACAGCAGATTTAAGATTTCATATTATTTTTCATAAAGAACCAAGTCTGCTAACACTTTGCCGAGACATTCAGTGAGGCGACACTTGACTTCTTCTTTTTTTTTAATTATGTGAGAGATGCACATCAAAATAAGGGGTTAGCTTTAAACAGTATAGATGAAAACCAGAGCAACAACTGCAGTACAATGCTTCCTATACTTTGTTGTTGTTAAAATACATGTGGAAAGCAGGTAAATTATTTACAGCAACAGTACTGAAAGATTATGGCAACATTTGCTAAGAATGCCATTATATGTTTCTTGTAAAATCAAGGTCAATAGGCAATGATATTGCTTTTAAGTGTTGCCTTGAAACGCTCACTGAAGAATCATGTGTAAATAGTGAGTTCATGTGCTATGAATTGACCTCCATTTAACCTAGTACATTAAAATCATGTCAATTACGACTTAAATTACAGCTTTTTGCTAAATCTAGTAATTATGACGTTAGTATTTTATTTTTTATTTTCACTCATAGGTGACAAGTAGAAGTGTATTTGTTTATGCAATGTATATGACACCATCCGCACATTTTGCTCAATTAAAATACACGGAATATATTCCAACACGAATAAATTAAGCACACAGATATACATGTCTTACACCTCTGATGAATCGTAATAAACACTGATACCGATACAAATTACAAATGCTTTTTTCATTAACGAAGTTGACACGCATTTGCAGGCTACCGGGAGACATGCTAACCGAAACCATGCAAACATTCAGTGTATGTGTGTAACATTGTTCTAGATGAAACCCATAGTGCCCGATGTATTTTTTTACTGTGAGACTGATTTACATCTCAAAACATCTACAGCCAGTCAGATTGTACGGACAGATAAGGACTATAAAATGAGCAGCATAAAGCTAACGTAACGTTAGAGACAGTGCTCGCTACGTTAGCAGGCCGCATTGACTGATTCCCGTCAAACTAGGAGAAGTGAAATAATGATGGTTTTGGAAGGCTTTGAGCGAGTTTTCCTACAATATTTGTAAAGCGGTGTAAAGACAGTCTAACCAATAAAGACTACGTTTGGATCTGTCCTTCAGACCAATCAAACCTCGGACTAGATTCCACCAATCAAGGTTTCTAAGGGTTCTGGTAGTTAAGAAACTGCCACCATTTAGGCTCAGAACGAACCAGTGATCCAATAGAAGTCATTTACGCTAGAGAGCCAAAATGGCGACCTATGTCCAACAGTTTCCTGACCGCCTCCATTCCCTTCCAATAGCCACCAATAAGCGCTTCAGAGAGCGAGGAGGGAAATGGCGCCTATGTTCATCCTCCAAAACAATCGTCCATTGGATGAAAACTTTTATTAGACCACGAGCTCAAAACGACCCCCTCTTCATCCAAACCAAGTTGTAGATAGCAACCGAACAGTAACGCAGCAAAGTACACCATTTTTATACTCACTTTACGTGATGAAATCGTAGCGTAGTCCGGTTCGTCGTAATATTTAATTTATTTCAGGCTGTTACAGGAACCAAGATGGCCGACGATTTGACAACTTTTTTTTTTTAAACCGGAAGAAGTGATACGTTAACTGTGACGTACTCGCCATTGAATGTGATTGTTCTTTAGTTCAGCGAGAGGTTGAGCTGGTCTGCACATCACATGAATGCATACGCTTTAATTGTATGCATTTTGTGAATCTGTTTGTGGAATCAAAATAAGAATGACCTCAGTATTTCATTATTCTAAAACAGTAATTATATATATATATAGCAAGGTATGCGTTTACAACATATAATACATGACAAATGTTACATTTATATAAAAAATACTCGTCCAAAGTACAAAAGCTAAAAAAAATATATATTTTTTATTATAGTTGAATCCAGTTCTGTGGTCAGCTCTTCACACAAAAATATTACAATATTGGGATTTTGGGAAAATTCAGTTTGGCACTAGGTGTTTGAAATAAAATAAAAAACATGAAATGCTTGTTATATTTTATATGCCATAGTTCAAAACCAATGTCAATTTAATAAATTTTATTTATTTTTTTAAATTATTGTTAAAAAAAGGACAGTCAAATTTGGGTTGAACTGTTTATTTTTTTTCAATCATCTTTCTTATAAACCATTTGAACAAAACCCATTACAATTTCTTAGTACACAAACCAAACAGAAAAGACAACAGCAAGCAGGCTACAAATCGTGACAAAATGAAAAGCAGTGAGAATTTAGGTAGTAATTCAAAACAGTATGAATATGTGTGTGCCCTGCGATGACTTCCTATCCATTCAGTGTATTTTCCTGCCTGTGGCCCGAGATGCTTGCATAACCTCCAGCCCTCCGTGACCCTGCAGAGAATAAGCGGTATGGGCGGATGAAAACAGTATTACATTTACTGAAAGTTATTGTATGAATTTACATAAAGGTGATCAATCACTGTAGACTATTGTTAAGCTATAACCATCTTATATTATGAACTGACTCATCAGCTAACTTCATCTACGAGCCACGAGCTCAAGAAGAGTTGATGCAATCTTGTCAAGACTGGTGGAGCTGGTTGCTTCTGGAGGTGGCGAGGATGATGGGTGGAACGGGTCGTAGGGTTCATCGCCTGGCTCATGGTCATTCTGATGAGACCTCTGCTGTGCTCTCCCAGCATACATCCTCGCTTCTTCTTGTAGAGAGGTTGGTTGGAAGTGAACAGGAGGCTTGCCAAAGCTCTCTGAAAACAAGATAATTATGTGGAATCAATCAGGAGTTGATATAAAAAACTGGTACAAATTCTTTGAAACACTTCAAAACACTGTAATCACATATAGTAACCTTATCATCAGCTCCTTAGGAAAACAAGTTTGACCTACAACCATCAGCTACAACCAAAAAAAAAAAAGGGGTTTATGATTACCTTGAAAACCTCTCTCAAGATCTGCCGGGCCTCTGTTCTCAAAACGCTCTAATGAACGTCCTTTCTGATGCTCCCAATTTCTTTCAGGATCCAAATTTCCAAAGCCTCTGTAATCACCTTCATAATATCTTGTCTCTTGAGTGCTTCTTGGAGCTTCTGCTCTTGAATATTCTTCAAAATGTTGTTCCTTTTGTCTAGGATCTTCATCATAACGTCTCCGCTCTGGAAGATCTCGTGTGGTCTCTTGTAACATCATCTTTTGAAATCCTCTGGGATCATTGGCGTACGGCCTTGCTTCTTGAAGATCACTGGGATAACTGTCAAATCGTTTTGACTCCTTGTAATCATCTTCATAACGTCTGGTCTCTCTAAGACCTCTGGGGTCATCCCCGATTTGTCGGACCTCTCGAAACATTCTAGGGTCATCTCCAAATTGTCTGGATTCTTGGAAACTTCTGGGACCGTCTTCATATCGTCTGGCCTCTTGGAAACCTCTCTTTCCTAAATGCATGCTATCTGGATCATCCCTTGGGTCTTTATATGCATCTCTGCGCTGGTCTGTCTGCTTTACTCCTCTGTGATCACTGACAGGTTGTGAAGTATGGCCCTTTATAAATAGATAGAGAACAATTATTTAGACTGAATTAAATGAGAATCATTCTTGGCATATAACACTGCTTACCACAGCACTTCTGGATTTGTTGTCTTGGAACTCTTTCAAAACTGTGCACAGCTTTTCTTTAAGAAATCTGGCTTCATCCATATTTTCAATCTTGATGTCATTCTGTAATTTAAACAGAATATGTTCAAATGAAAACTCCAGTTTATCAGCTAGTCTTTTTTCATGTTTGTCAAATATTCTGCACTCACAAGTATGTCCAGAACGTTTTCATGTTTTGGATTAAGATGGGATGTACTTCCAGAATCCACAAATTGTTTATTTAAAGACTAAAGAAAAACAAAAAAACAACGAGTATTCCAACAAACACTGTGGGTTAGTACATAGTCAAGCCACAGTCTTCATCTGTATGTTCAAGTATATACGGCACAATGTGCCACATCGCTGTGTCTTGAATGCGAACAACAATGAAGCCAGTTGTAGTTTGATTAATGTGAATAGTCCATGCTAGAAACGAAGACCAGCTACAACCATATTATCTGCTTATGTTAAGGTGAGAATTAGTGAATCCTTACTGTATTCCTACTAAAATGACTGGAATTTGTCTGCAAAATTTCATTGAACAACGGTAAATGTTATCGCACCATTAGTCTGACTTCACAAAAAAACGCTAAAGCGTTTAAATTACATTTTAAAAAGCAAAATGACTGCTTTAGTCCGATTAAAAATAGAACTTAAACTGCATGTAAACGCAGTTCATGACAAAGTATATCATAGGAATACCTATACACCATATTTAAAAGGCAAGTTATCTTAAGATAAAACATTTTATATACAATTGATTTGAGCGTAAACAAGGGTTACCAGAGGATTTGCTCTAAACGGTGCTCCTCTTGGTTTCACTTTGGCGGGGAATTTATTTGAATGTCTGAAATGAGAATTTAGTAAATAAATAAATAACCCCTGAAGACAACAGACGAATATAAATTTGAGTAAAAATACACCCATCAAATTTCATAACATTGAGCAACAAATTTTCTGAATGTGACATTATGAAATGATCAAGTCACCTCATATGTGTGAGTGCTATTTCCTCTGCGGTTGCATCAGAGAATCTGCTCTTCCTTTTCTTTTTAGCTGGAGCCGCTTCTTGTGAATATGCTCTCGGATTTTTGGGTTGAAACATAGGGGGGTAACCTTGCACCTCATTAACTTTGTCCCAAGTCCTACTTTGCATTTCTCTGACGGTGCCTCTTTTCTCCTCATTAAAGCTTCTTCCATGCATTGACATGGGATTCATGGCAGGATTTCTCTCTTCATAACCTGCATTCCGCCTACCTTCCATTTGCTCTTTCTGATATTCTGATGCTCCAGGGCGGATTCGGAGGTCTTTGTCATTAAATCGGTTTATTTGACCTCCTGAGAACTGTCCTCCGCCAAGACTTTCTCTTTCGTAGTCTTCCTGAAGTCTCCGTCCACTCTGGTCTGCATAGGGCCTAGTATGCATTTCTCTTTCAGGATAATCATCACCTCCTCGAATGCCAGCATCTTCGTAAGGTTTTTGATGTTGGTTTTCTTCTGGATAGAATTGTTGACTGATTGCATGACTTGGATTAGGTCTATTGTACTGGTCATACTTATCGGCAGTATAATAGGGTCTTCCATGTTGGTCTTCATCCAAGTATGTCTGTTTTTGAACCTGTTCAGGGAAAGGTGACTTCGTAAGAGAGTCTTGTCCATAGTGAACACTGGCCCTTAAATCAATTCCTGCTAGGTACAAAGAGTACATAAAAATATGTAAATTTCACACAAAATTAAGTTCTGTACTATGAAAAATAAGCTGCTGATTCAAAGGTCAAATATTCACCTTGGAAAACATTTCTGAATTTCTCTTGTGGTTTTCGGAGTGCCTAAAATGAAGTTACAGCTGAATATTAATTCATATTTCTATGCGTAGAATTGTTGACTGATTGCATGACTTGGATTAGGTCTATTGTACTGGTCATACTTATCGGCAGTATAATAGGGTCTTCCATGTTGGTCTTCATCCAAGTATGTCTGTTTTTGAACCTGTTCAGGGAAAGGTGACTTCGTAAGAGAGTCTTGTCCATAGTGAACACTGGCCCTTAAATCAATTCCTGCTAGGTACAAAGAGTACATAAAAATATGTAAATTTCACACAAAATTAAGTTCTGTACTATGAAAAGTAAGCTGCTGATTCAAAGGTCAAATATTCACCTTGGAAAACATTTCTGAATTTCTCTTGTGGTTTTCGGAGTGCCTAAAATGAAGTTACAGCTGAATATTAATTCATATTTCTATGCAAAACTCTTCAAAATAATCAATTTTACAAGCAACAAATCCACTAAGATTATATTACCACTGGCTTTCCCCATCCCTCCTGCTTTTCAACTACTGCAGCTTTGGCTCTGGCAACAAGACCCGGTTGTTTTTGGTTGTTGTCTTGCCATGTCACCAAGTCAGGTCTTTTCAGCTCCTGCCAAGACAGATCTAATGTAATCAATTTATTTCACTCTGAACAGTATAAGAGTAAACGTATAATGAGGAACAAAGCCACCATACCAAGTATTTTTGTCTGTGTTTGCGTCCAACGATATGGGCCACCATGCTATAAAGGTCCATCTCCACGACACACATTCGGCACTTGTACTTTAACACAGTTTTGCCATCGTCAGTTACATGATCTGGAACCTGTACCAGGGAGTTGAGACCTGAAAAAAGAAAAGGAAAAGTTAGTGGTTTATTGCAATTAAAGATATTTTGAAAATATCTATTTTTTTCAGCTATACAATGAAGGTCAATGGGGTCCAAATTCCAATGTTATTTTGGACCCCATTGCCTTTCTTTGTATGGGAGAAAACAGTTGAAAAAATGTACAAAATATCTTCTTTCATGTACCACAGAAGAAAGAAAATCATACAGGTTTGAAATTACATGTAGGGTTGGGCGATGTCTACCAAATTGGCATCGGACGATGTCTACAGTGAAACATCGTGATGGACGATGACATCGGGGGGCAGGGTTAGGGGGTGTGCCCGAAGTTTGAATCCGTATACAGAAAGGCACAGAAAACAAATAATGCATTCTACGGAGCCACTAAAGGGACATGGTTAGCCGCTTGCTAGCAGTAGACTTTTACATTACAGTACATGAAAGTTCACTTACCACATACAGAGTAAGGAGAGATGACTGATAGGACAATGGCGAATGATTTGCAGATACTGAGCACCAATGACAAATATCTAATCTTGTACAATGTGTGGTAGGTACTGCCGCTCCATAGTATAGAGTCCGTGTGATCGCAAATCTCGAAAGTGAAAGTAAAATGAGAGCGCGCATTCGAAAGTGGTTTCAATGCCCTGCATATTAGTAGCGGGCGGCTCCCTGAAGCCTGCAATTTATATACTGTATAATTACCTAACTATATAATTGCGAGAGAAAGTATTGAAATATATATATATATATTTTAATCCTCCCATCTCGTAGGGCTATATATTCCCTTTAGGGGTTCTGTAGTACACTTAATTTCCTTTCCGAACATGGAATTGGAATGCGGCAGATTGCGGGGGGAAGGGGGTTGGGGAGATCACGATGCCGGCTCAACATCGTGATGTCTGTCAGCCATCGGCGATGGACGATGGCATCATCTATCGGCCCAACCCTAATGACATGAGGTGAGTAAATGATGACCAACTTTTTATTTAGGGGTTACCCATCCCTTTAAGACCACATTACTCCATTTTAAATGGTATGTTTTAATTCTGAAGTCGTCTTACCGATGATGGGCTCATCAAGATTCAGGTATTCCAAATATTCTCTGATGTCCGTCCATTCCGGCAGTGGAGGTGGTCTCGGAATCTCTCCTATAAAGGACAGAATAAGCTCATAAAACATGATCTTTTCAGCAGTTTACAAATATACAAATAATATATTGTTAATAACTGAAAGATCCTATATGTTTCCTATGTCATTATGTTTCTACCTGTTTAAACAGGTCAGATCACAGTAATAGTTTTTTTTTTTGGTACAAGTGAACCACAGGGCATTAACGGTTGAGAAACATTCCCACAAATTAGCTGATGAAGACTCCTCTCGGTGTTAAAACAAAATGTTGAAGTTTGCTTCAATGTTGCATTTCCATTAGATTTCATGTCCACAAACACCTATTCTGCTTAGACATTGATTTAGACCTGAGGCTTTTTGGCAGGTAAAACAGTTCTTGTGTCATCCTTTGTACTGGAATATAATGGCCATTCCCATCATATCTCTGCTGAAAGACATTACATTTCCATCAAAATCCAGAGAGTTCATCTAATTTTCAGCCATCATGAAAGACTCCATTTGATGAAAGACTATCTGGTCTCGAATTGTGGAATAATGCTGAAACAAGACCAAATTGTCCCATCCACTTAAAGATCCATATGGGAATCTCAGATCTCTAGAATCTACGAAGCTTTGGGAAAATCCTCTAGCATCAAGGTCCAATCTGAAGAAACCGGTTTTGCCCAGGTGATGAGCTGGTACACCGATTGTACTAGCATTCACACATCACTGTGGCAAAACAGCATCCCCTGGATTGCGACCAGTCCAGAAGATGCTATAGAAATTCATACTTATCCACCTGTGATACTGTCCATACACATAATGTGTATGGTATGCTTGCTTGTGTTGTCCTCAATGCCTGCTTATGTAAAAGGGGACTCTATGAAATTTCAAAATAAAAATCTGCTGAGCACATTGCAAGCAATGTGTTATTTCCAGCATGTATGATGTTTTGAGGGAACAAATTTACAAGTTAATCATCTCACACTGAACAAGGGAAAATATATATATATATATACACTGGAGGGCACAAACAATGAATTGAACCATAAGGTCCTTAAATTAATAATTTTACAGATCTTTAAGGATTTATATGTCCACATCATCACTACTATTTATTTAAACATGCCATTGTAATTTTCAAATCAAAAACAATTTAAAACCCGTCCCCTCACATAGACATTGCAACATCAATGTACACAACATCAGAGAAGAGAAGGCAGGACAATAAGGTTATCCAATAACCAGACGGGTTTCAATACTTCCCCACAACAACCGGCCACCTGCATGAAATGATCGCAGCGGTCAAATCAAATCCCAGTAGACAAAATCAAGTCCCATTTTTTTTTCACTCAGGTTTCACTCTGATACATGGCACAAGAGGAAAGAAAAGAAAGTTGCATTTTCCATTTCATGCCAACCATGAAACTGAAAAAGACACCCATATTCCCCCTAAAATCCTGAAACAGATTCACTTCTTATTCTTTGAATAACAAAAAATGTTATTCCTGTTTCTTAAATATTCCATGGTTTTACTGCAACTATAAAAATCCACTTAACCGATAAAAATCCAGGCCCATGTGATTCCAGAAGGATTCGGTTTCTTCTTTGTCTTCAAATTCATAAAAAAAAACCTGTAGCATCTAGGGCTTCATATCACTTTGGGGACAAAAATCAGTTCTTTTGATGATTCCTATCATCAGTGGTGAATTCTGTGAGTTTTGTAGCTGTAATGTCCACACATTTTGATGGCAGAAGGACATCCTTCTCTAAGGAAACCCTTCTGAACCTATGAGATGACACCTGACAATTTGAATACTTACAAACTCCTTGAGATTTCTGTTGAATTTCCTGATATGATAGACATGTGCTTTTAAATAGCAAATTCAATGTCAATGTAATCTCAATAAATAGAAAATAAAACAAAATAATTTGATTTTGGGACATTTCGTATAGTCTTATTACATTGATGATAACTCTGTCTGAACAAAATTTGATCGGACTTCTTTTTACTAAACACAAGGACTAACCACAAGAACCCCATAAACTAATTTTTTTTATAAATCCAACAGAATCAGGGACCGTGAGATGCCTAGACATTAGAAGAAATTCTGGACAAAGTTGTGACTTTTACTACTTACCTTGTGAAGCTAGGGTGTCCTCTTTCTTTGAAGAGATTAACAGTGGAGGAAAAACAGGCACAGGTGACTATATATTTTACTTATGTACACTTCATAGGAGCTACTTGCAATACTGAAATAAAGTAAACAGAGGTTAATAACACATAGGCAACAAAGAGTGTTGTGACGGTAGATGGTCTAAACCCCATTTGGGGGAGACCTTCTTTATTCACTGGGCTCTTGATTAAGTAACTTTACCCCAGAAGCTCTGTGGGACCCATATTGTGCATCATTCTGGATAAAAAAAAGTTCAAGTTTGAAGAACCACAAGTATGGTTATCATAAAGGAAGCATTGTGTGTGGGAAAATGAATCCCAAATTTTCCAGAAACAAACTACAAGTTTGGGTTTCACTTGTTCATGAGAGGAAATAAGATGAATAATGAAGAATTTCACAAAAGTAACATGCCATGGAGCTGTAAAAGCTGAAAAGATCCAGTCAGAACATACTTACTAAAAGTCATTCAAAATAACACAAACATGAAAATGTGTTCATGGATTTACTAGGATTCAGTATCCTGTGTTATTTTATAAAACAACTCAATTTCCAAGTGATATAACAGAAATAAATTTGGATTATTTACTGTCCAGCCCTTTGTAGCCAATAGCTATAGAGGCACAGCAGTCTCCACAGAGGATACACAAAACAGAAATAATGCGGTAAGAGTTGTATGGTCAGAATTCCCATTTGACCAAACATAAGTACGGACTACTTCCCATGCAGAAATCTGAAATCAAGCCGAATATATAGTTGTGCTCAAGGAGTGTCGCTCTGAGTATCTTCCAAAGATTCAATGTCATGATGAATCTCACAAAGTTTGGAAAATCAGAGCAACAAGGAGCAGCTGAGAAACTTTAAAAGAAAACCTGTGCAGTACGACTCTCGGAAACATTGTGGCCAGCCAGTTAAGAACGGAGCTGGCAGATTTGGACAATTCCTGCCATTTTAGTATGCAGCATCTAATAGTCCTTTGGCAGTCTTGTGAAAAAGCACATCATCTTGCTGCACCACCAACAGCAATAATGGCTATAGGCTGTCAAACTACCGCACATTTTAGTGCAGGTGACAACTATTTGGAGTAGTGTGAGGATGCCCTCAGACTAAAAAAAAAAAGCAATGTTATAGAGCTCTTGAATCTTCTCAAATATGCAGAAGTGTACAAGAATATACATGTTGTTTCAAGCAGCTCCATCTGTTCAGGAGACTGAAGAAGCAAAAAGATAAACCTATAAAATTGTAAAGTGTATTTGGTCCTCAAAATGAAATCTAATTGGACTGGTATCTCACCATCTTATAGTAAAGACAAAGAAACGACATCGAACAGCCCAAAACACTCCAGTGTCCACACAACTCCTCCTAATTTGCTTTAAAAGCAAAATGAGTAGCTTTTGGGACTGATAAAGCAATGCAGACATAACCTGTATACAAGGTCATAACCTGTGCATACAATGTCTGAGACAAAGGAAATGAATAGGCAAAATGTTGTTCGCTGGTTGATCTCGATTCCTTAGAAGTCCTAAAGTTGAACGAAGCAGAAAAGTGAGTAAAACTAAACATTCAATTACAATCTAAAACCACTTAAAATCTATTATTAATAGTACTTCAGAAACACTGAACTACTAAACTGTATATAAATATGTACTAATACTAGTCAAAAGTTTAGAATAATTAAATATGTTGTATGCTGTTGAAAGTCTTTTATGCTCAGAAGGCTGCATTTATTTGATCAAAAATACAATAAAAACATGTATCTTGTGAAATATTATTACAAAGAGAAAAGAACCGTTTCTGTTTAATATATTTTCAAATGTAATTTCTTCCTGTGATGGCAAAGGTGAATTTTCAGCAGCCTTCGGTGTCACGTTATTCTTCAGAAATCATTCTGATATGCCACTTTGGTGTTCGGTTATCAATTATTATTACTACTCCTTCAGTCACAACACTGGATTTTCTCTCCTTACCTTCAAATGTTGTAATGTGGTCACGTGTATTTTGTAATGGGTTTCGCCCCGTATTCTTTTATCGCAGATCTGAGGAAAAACATTTATCAATATAAGTGCCATAGAGTTAGGTCAATGCATTTACATGACGTTTTAATAAACAATATCAATATCTGTTTTTGTAAACTCGGCTCAAAATAAAGACAGATTTACCGAGCACTCAATAAAGCTGTTGGCCTGGTCATCGTCGTACACTGTCAGTAAATCAGCCATCTCTCAAAACTAAAATAAAACACAAAGTTGTCTGATTGAGTGTTATTCGCACAGTATCTAGTTCTTTGTCAAGTCATGCAAAATAAATGTAGTAACGTTACAGAAAACATGAATCAAGAAGACGCATTACACTTAGCATTTCGTAATAAATGATATTTGCGACGCACCTACTTGTAAAGCCTCGCACGCAAGAATTAACGAAAGATTAGCGAATTAGCGATATACGCTTTTATGCACCCAACATTTAAAAAAATTATTGAAAAGTACAAAAAAAAAACCCCGCGATGCTAAAAGACAAAAGTGGTGAAATGCAATTTTTTTCCCGTTTAGGCCACTTCCTCAGTCCTCTACTTCTTCTGTGGTCAAATTCTCTTTGCTGCAGAAACGTTCGTACCACCTAGTGGATGGGTAGTTCGTAACCTTCTTCGTCTTCTTCTTTTGATGTTTAATGGCGGTTGGCAAACCAGCGTTTGGTGCTTATTCCGCCACCTACTGGGATGGAGTGTGAGGCGACGATCTCAAGGGAAATGCTCATTCAAAAAAACAAACAAAAAAACCCCTCCTACCTATATTTTATTATATACATTTGTTCTTTTCAGAAAATGAATAAGAGCTTTATAACCTTTATGAGAACTGTTTAACACATTCTGTAATGTTATAGAATTAATGCCGGCAGATTTTAATTCCTCTTTGAACTATTCTTTCCCATGCTCTACAGTTAATCAGCACATGCTCTACAGTTTCTGGAAGTCCACAATGATTACATTGACCAGATTCATGTCTTCCTATCATCTGGAGTGATTTATTAAGATTAGTGTCCAATTCTCAATCACGATATGTATCATCTCTTCTATAAGCAGTTCTTACATGTCCACTTGTTTATTTATATTATACAAATGTCGCCCTTTGTTACCTTTATCCCATGTCTCTTGCCATATCTTTCTGACAGCTACAGGGTATATTCATGTCAATATTTGTGTGCTTAAGAGCCCGTTTCACTATATCTTGTCTACCTCCTCATTTCCTTCCACTTCAGCATGAGCAGGCACCCATAACAATTCTGCTATAATTCTCAGTTGCCGTATTCGGTACAAACTTTGCTGTACTTCTAATAAAATATCTTGTCTAGATTCTGATTTTCCACTCAGTATACTTGTGAGTGCAGAATATGAATCTGAACAGATTACCACTGTTGTTGGTTTGTTCGCAACCTGTATGACTTTCTTTCTTCTGTGGAACTTAAAATTAAATATTACGTACAATTGAATCGACTGAGTGACAGCCTCGGTCGCCATTAACAATAAAAAGCATATAATGTAAGTGAACGGTGACCGAGACTCATTATGTTGTACATATACTTTTGTGGTCCACTGAAGAAATTCATACAGGTTTGGGACAAAACAGACGGCAGATTTGTCATATTTTGACTGATTTTTATATAGATGAGCTAGAAACAGCATTCTGATCAACTGCAGCACAGATTGAAGAAGTATCATCTGAAGAATGCTAAATTACCCAAATGGTGCACATGTTTTACCCACCAGGTGTCGGTGTGATTCAATAAGTGAAGGCTTCATGACATTGCCCAGAGACAACAGTGAATTCAATACAGTAATTACACAGAGGAACTTGAATAGCATGTATGCGTAACAGGATCTAGGCAAACGTACATTGATCTAAGAAACTGTGATTTTTGAGTTAGATTTGACCTGCATTAAAAAACAATAAAAATTGCTTACAGGTCTAAAGATGCTGGAGAAGATCCCCCCAAAAATGATATAGCCTATTCACTCACTTGCAGTTAAACAAATTGTGTACTTCACAAATAAATTGTGACTTTTCCAAAATCCTCACTTACAGAGAGAGAGAGAGAGAGAGAGAGAGAGAGAGAGAGAGAGAGAAAAAAACTTTTTGTTGAGTTGCTACAGGTGTTTAGGAAGTGCTGTTGTGGTTTTTATTGCCATGGAGTGTTTAAGAGAAAGCTAGAAGGTGCCTTTATTAAAATTGTGGCAGAAATGACCTGAAGAAAATGAGAGTAAAATTTGAGTGTTCAATCATTTGAACAAACTATCAGGGCCTGAGTCACCTCATTGTTATGTTTAAATATTCCAGCAGTAATGGGTTTACAATAAAAACGTTTATCTTAGGGTTGAGAGAGATAATCAATTCCGAGACGACATTTTTGTACTTTACAATGAATAAAGGATCTATCATAAAGAGTGTGAAGGGAAATTGGATGTTTCAAAATCCATACTACCGAAAACAATCACTATTGGGCTCATGAGGAGGACCCAGTTAAGGTCGCTGGAAAGAGGCATTTTGTGAAGCAAACTCACGCCCCTGCCGTTTTTCCTGACTTTCCGTCTCAGCTACGCTTGAGAGAGCCGCCGGCCGGCGCTATTAATTTGTGTTCTCCAAGATGGAGGAGGTTTTGTGATGTTCCCCAGCACTCAGAAGTGATCCTTTTTCCGTCCGTGTCAGATCATTCCTCAGACACAGGGGCGGACATCTTTTCTAAACCCTTTTGCCTGTGGGGGAAATAAAGAACAACTTTAGGATTTGGATATTAGTTTTTTTTGTGTGTGTGTTTTTCGCCACAGCCATGAGCTCGGGGGAAGGGGCCGAGGAGGCGGCTAAGGACGCGGCCGATATAGCGACGGTCTTCAAATCTGGTAAGCCCGAGGCTCGCGAGGCTGCTCGGATTGAATGGCGCGGCTGTGGGACATTGTTCGTGCACTGTCTCCTATAGGGTGGGTGGGTAGGGAGGCTGGAGCGCCCTGGACAGTTGCAGTCGTTTTTGTACCAATATAATGCATTAAGTACAGAAATCACTACTATGCTGTTCGGACAACTCGAAGGTTGAAATGTGGTTTATAACAGCCTCGCTGGAGAAATTTCAGTTGGTTGTGTTGTTAACTCGTGCGAGCCATTGGTGCTCGTTGGTAAAGGATTTCAGCAAGATATTTCCAGAAATCACTTTCATTTCTTATAGATTTTAGCTTAGTCAGTAAGAGGTAATCGAGATTATTATGCTAAATATATTTGGGTCAATCGTGCAACTTACTGATGATAAGCTTGTGGCTGGAAATAAGGTTAGCTCGAGTATTGTGCAGGCCAGCTTTTTAATAAATAAATAAATAAATACTCATAGATACACTGTTTTTATCCACAAACACCCTTATGAATATAGTCCATTAGCATCTTTAGTATTATTTTCAATACTTTAGTATGTTCATTTGGAGGGAACCATAAAAAGGAAGTAAATTCAGTGTGTCAGTTCCTTTATGCCACTTTTTAATTAACTGTTATCCATCGAATATAAATCAAATGCTGTTATTTTCAAACATAAGACTATCAGTTAGTCAGACAGTCAATATCATCTGAACTATCAGACGGATCTGAGAATCAAAAGGTAGTCAGCAATGTAAACAATGACCTGGCGTGGCACTCTATAACCCCCTGCTAACTAGCTAGCATGGTGTGAGAGATTGATGTGGTGAAAGACTTTAATACTACAGCACTTAACTTTATTAGGCCATTATTTATGTAAAAGATAACGACAGACACAAATGTAGTTATTTTGGTTAGATTTAGCTACAAAACAGGATTAATCGGTAACCTGATTGACTCGTGTAGCATTTGGTTGCAAAGTTAGCCAAGCTATTCCAGAAAGATTGATGACACAATTACCTTCTGCCTTGAACCAGTTTATGAAAATTATGTTCATTCTAATGAAATATCTGATTGCGTTTATGCTAGTGAAAATGTAATGAGGTATATAGAGGAAAGTAATCGAGAGCTATCTGGTTATGTATTCAGGATTGTATATGGTAACCATAGAATGACAAAATCTTACTGTTTTTCTGATAGCTGGCTGGATCTACAAGCTTTGGTTAATCATTCACAAGACGCTTTTTAATGCTTCTGCAGAATGCATTAAGGAAATATTTAGTCCAAGACTAGGTCATAAAGTACTTAAGCTGGACCCTTGGTCTCCCAGCCTGGTTTCACATGGATTCTGGGACTTTTTAGCTTGTCATTCTGGGGGACCAGCTTGTTGACTGGCTAAACCAGCTGAACACCAGCTTGGCCATGCTGGGAGACCACCTTAAACAGCAAATCAGCTTAGAATGGTTATAATGACTTGTTTTTGTTGGGTAACCTTCTAAACAATAGACAATGATTTATTTTGTTGTTTTTAAAGTATTTCTCTAAATTATATGTTACCTCAGATTTGACAAATTAAAGTAGGCCTACCCTTTTGAGATACAAGCGAAGTGGTTTTGTTTTGGTTTTGGTAGTGAAACCACAATTGGAAGTACTGCATCTTTATTCCGCCACCTACTGGGATGGAGTGTGAGGCGACGATCTCAAGGGAAATGCTCATTCAAAAAAACAAACAAAAAAACCCCTCCTACCTATATTTTATTATATACATTTGTTCTTTTCAGAAAATGAATAAGAGCTTTATAACCTTTATGAGAACTGTTTAACACATTCTGTAATGTTATAGAATTAATGCCGGCAGATTTTAATTCCTCTTTGAACTATTCTTTCCCATGCTCTACAGTTAATCAGCACATGCTCTACAGTTTCTGGAAGTCCACAATGATTACATTGACCAGATTCATGTCTTCCTATCATCTGGAGTGATTTATTAAGATTAGTGTCCAATTCTCAATCACGATATGTATCATCTCTTCTATAAGCAGTTCTTACATGTCCACTTGTTTATTTATATTATACAAATGTCGCCCTTTGTTACCTTTATCCCATGTCTCTTGCCATATCTTTCTGACAGCTACAGGGTATATTCATGTCAATATTTGTGTGCTTAAGAGCCCGTTTCACTATATCTTGTCTACCTCCTCATTTCCTTCCACTTCAGCATGAGCAGGCACCCATAACAATTCTGCTATAATTCTCAGTTGCCGTATTCGGTACAAACTTTGCTGTACTTCTAATAAAATATCTTGTCTAGATTCTGATTTTCCACTCAGTATACTTGTGAGTGCAGAATATGAATCTGAACAGATTACCACTGTTGTTGGTTTGTTCGCAACCTGTATGACTTTCTTTCTTCTGTGGAACTTAAAATTAAATATTACGTACAATTGAATCGACTGAGTGACAGCCTCGGTCGCCATTAACAATAAAAAGCATATAATGTAAGTGAACGGTGACCGAGACTCATTATGTTGTACATATACTTTTGTGGTCCACTGAAGAAATTCATACAGGTTTGGGACAAAACAGACGGCAGATTTGTCATATTTTGACTGATTTTTATATAGATGAGCTAGAAACAGCATTCTGATCAACTGCAGCACAGATTGAAGAAGTATCATCTGAAGAATGCTAAATTACCCAAATGGTGCACATGTTTTACCCACCAGGTGTCGGTGTGATTCAATAAGTGAAGGCTTCATGACATTGCCCAGAGACAACAGTGAATTCAATACAGTAATTACACAGAGGAACTTGAATAGCATGTATGCGTAACAGGATCTAGGCAAACGTACATTGATCTAAGAAACTGTGATTTTTGAGTTAGATTTGACCTGCATTAAAAAACAATAAAAATTGCTTACAGGTCTAAAGATGCTGGAGAAGATCCCCCCAAAAATGATATAGCCTATTCACTCACTTGCAGTTAAACAAATTGTGTACTTCACAAATAAATTGTGACTTTTCCAAAATCCTCATTATAGAATATTGAATAGGTTGTGTGATTATTGTCTTAAAAAAATTCCCCATGTTTTCCGAGCTGATGCGGTGGTGACGCGTTCATGTAAGCAGAGGGTGAATGTGTGAATTGTAAAATGTGTGGTAAGTACTGCCGAATGCTGCTCCGTACGTGTTATTGTGAATCTCGAAAGTGAAAGTAAAAAAATAAGCGATTTTAATGCCCTGTATATTAATAACGGCTCCCCGATGCCCGCAGTTTATAGACAGTATAATTACCCAACGATATAATTGCGACAAAAGATATTGATGTATATTTCTCCCATCTCGTATCTATTCAAACAACACCCAAATCATCTCCATAAATGCTTTCCACACAACCTGAGCAGTGACAAATGTGCCAACCTCAAAACCAGTTCAAACTCTAAAAACACTTTTATACTAGGGATGGGTCACGATTTTCGAATATTCGATTAGTTTATTTAATTATAGAATATTGAATAGGTTGTGTGATTATTGTCTTAAAAAAATTCCCCATGTTTTCCGAGCTGATGCGGTGGTGACGCGTTCATGTAAGCAGAGGGTGAATGTGTGAATTGTAAAATGTGTGGTAAGTACTGCCGAATGCTGCTTCGTACGTGTTATTGTGAATCTCGAAAGTGAAAGTAAAAAAACAAGCGCTTGTTCATAAGCGATTTTAATGCCCTGTATATTAATAACGGCTCCCCGATGCCCGCAGTTTATAGACAGTATAATTACCCAACGATATAATTGCGACAAAAGATATTGATGTATATTTCTCCCATCTCGTATCTATTCCCTTTAGGGGTTTAATTTTTTTTCAATTGGAAATGTCATAGTCTTATGAGTAGCTGATTTATGCTAATCGAAAGGACTGTTATGCTAATAAGTGCCGTCATTTGGTTATGTTTATTATATTAATATGTTTCAGCACCTTACAATCATTATATGGCTTGAGTTAAGGTAGCCTATCTTCTGAATTAAACAGTTTATCATACAGATTGAAAGCGTGAATCCCGTCTCTCTCCCTCTCTGTCTCTGTTTATGGGTGTTTGTGCGTGCATGTGGGGGAGGGGTGCGATTTTCAAATATTATTTTTGCTTGGAATGCCCATCCCTACTTTATACAGACCCAGATTATGGATTTTTCATTAGTCAGCTATACATTTGTGTTGTTAGAGAGAAACCTTTCACAGATTTCACAATACTCAGATTTCACACAGACTTTGTGAATGAAACCCAGAGTCTTATAGTGGGCTCATCATACTAAACTAGGACTGAAGAAGTTATTTTAACTTAAAAAAATATATAAAAAATTACACAATACTTTTAATGTCCTTGGATACATCTGAATTTTTCCCATTTCTTTTGTTCATAGAGTACTCATTGTTAAATTCATAGTTTTATGCTCTTTATCTTTCCTGTATAACTCTTTTTGAACTTTGCATTGTGTGCTAAATTGTACTTCTGTTGATTTTGATGGTGCCTTTGTCCTTGGCTAATAGGCCCCCTGGTAGTTTTTGGAGGCCTGGCAGTGGCTCCGTTTTTCTCTCTGTAGCGTTCGATGAATTTTTCTGACACTCAGACGTCATGTGGTTAGCATTGAGAAGTTAAATTTTCTGTCGTTGACTGTTACCACCCCAGCTGAATCGTCCCTGCGTTCAGCCCATTCACCCCAGGATCTCTCTCTTTCTCCTTTTCTCGTTCTCTCCTTCTATGTCTCTGTTGTGTCGCGGCCTCTTGATTTATCCAGCCTCTCTATCTCTCCCTCTCATCATTTTTTTTTCTTTTCAGTTTCTCGTTCGGCTCTTCTCTCTGTCTCCATGTGTGGTAGGGAAAGGTCGTATTGACCTACATTCGCTGGGTTAGGAATGGTGCACTCACTGCCCCCTCTGTCTCCTGGCACAGTACAAGAAGATCCTATTATTCAACTGCAGAGAGAGAGAGACGCCAAGACAGCTTCCGAC